ATAGGCTTCCCCCATAGCTTTCCCCCTCCTCATGTGTAAATACATGCATGCAATCTACAACACATGCATTTAATTGTTTTCTTAATATTCCTTCAATTAGCAATTTATGTATTCATTTTAAAATTTATCTCCCACCCTGTATCTGAAGGTCACGGGGCAGATTGCCACAATAAGCAGTGTTAAGTGGAATACAACCCAGAAACACAATTTAAATAATAAAGAACACTGAAAAGTACGTAATCTACAGTATGCTATGGTTGTTCCACATATTACAGTGGTGTCCCTTGGCAGAGGGGAGAGGTGGCACCTCAGTGGTAGGGCATCAGTTTTGCAAGTGGAAAGTCTTAGCTTCACTCACTGGATCTCCAGTTAGGATTGGAAAATGACCTTTCTGTGAAACTCTGTAGAGAGCTGCTGCCAGCTGCTATAGACAGTACTAATCTAGATGGATCAGTGGTGTGACTCAAAATAAGGCAACTTTTTACCATCACCAATTTTGAAGCAAAGCCCTGGTTATATTATGCTGTCGTGACGAAGGACTGCTTTATTTCCCAGTGCTTATTTAAGAGAGAGGCTACTCAGAAACCTTCCTAAGATGAAAGCAGAGGGTTCTCCTTCCCCAGCTTAAACTGCAAGCTTTGGAGCTTGTACGCATTCATTACCGTCATCTATAAAGCGCCAGCAAAGCTCCTGCTCTGTGCAGCAGCAATCTCAACCCCAAGCCAGCTGACGCAAATGGGCTACGGTAATTCCTAATGTGTCTTGAACATGTGGAGGCCAGAATCAAGAGGCTCGTTCCTCTCAGGCTTCCGGCAGCAACAAACACCCAAAGGCAGAACTGGTTGCTGTTATATTACAGCAGCCAGTGAGACTCAGATCAAGAAGCTGAAGACAGATGGCTGCTTTAATGCTGAATGTGAGCACCTTCTTGTCCCCTGAGACCACAAGGGTTCAAAGAGCTCCCACTTACCAGCTTGCTAACAGCATACATTGAGAAGCATATGGATGAGAGAAGCACGGGTTGTCCTGCAGATGGGTTGCTTTGCTGCTAACCTCTGCATGACTCAGATTCTGGTGTTTTGCCTGCTCAAATGAGAGTATGGGATAGGCTTGCCATACATCAGGAAAATTCCTGACCTGTCCTGGTTTACAGGTGTAAAAATCAGTGGGGTTAGGGTGTCAGGAATTTTACTTTTTGAAATATGGCGATACTAGCATGAGAGAAACTGCTTGGCAGATGATGGGAGGTGTGGGACACACGAATGCAGAGGTTAAAGCCCGCATGCACCTTTCTTTGTAGTTTTGTCAGGCAACAAAGGGTGGGGAGGAGAGCTGAAATTGGTTTAAGAAAAGCATCACTGCAAGATGGGAATGGCTGTAACCTACAAAACTGGTGCGATAGGCATGGCCCCTAGCATTAGCAGATAAGCTCACGCAAACATGTAGAGTGGCTAGAGGTGAATCTACTAATCATATATTTTGGTTTGTTTTCATTTCTTCTATTAGCTCTCAGCCTGTTGGGTTTGGGTCTCCTATAGTACAATAATGTCTCATGCTGTATGACTGATGGTCTACTTGTATGTAACTCCATATATTGGTGGTAGCTGCCCACCTGTTTTGATTATATCTGTTCTATGCTGTATTTATGTTTCAAAAATTTTTGTTGTTGTTGTTATTTAGTCGTTTAGTCGTGTCCGACTCTTCGTGACCCCATGGACCAGAGCACGCCAGGCGCTCCTGTCTTCCACTGCCTCCCGCAGTTTGGTCAGACTCATATTTGTAGCTTCAAGAACACCGTCCAACCATCTCGTCCTCTGTCGTCCCCTTCTCCTTGTGCCCTCAATCTTTCCCAACATCAGGGTCTTTTCCAGGGAGTCTTCTCTTCTCATGAGGTGGCCAAAGTACTGGAGCCTCAGCTTCACGATCTGTCCTTCCAGTGAGCACTCAGGGCTGATTTCCTTAAGAATGGATACGTTTGATCTTCTTGCAGTCCATGGAACTCTCAAAAAAAATATTACAGTGCAAAAGAAAAAAGAAAAGCATTGCTGCTCCCAGTGTATATACTCATTCTATTTTTGCCCCTGGTTAACTGTAGGCTTTAAAAATAAATAAATGAAAAACCCATTTCACTAAAGACAACTTGCATCAGGGTGAGGCATTTAGGATGAGATGAGAGCCAAGGGGACCTCTGGGTGCATTCAGTCTAATGCATTTTAATTCTTTTTCATCAAGGAATATAACCATTTAATGTCATTAATAAAGCATAGTTGAAAATCTCAAAGGTAGCGCCAATAATTGTTGCTACTAACAATACAAACCATGCAAAGGAACAAAAAAAAAAGTAACAATTTTAAAAAAGGAATAAAAAGTCCCATTCTTTCCCACAGGTTGAATTGTTTCTGGCAGGATTTGTGATAGTTTTGAGATTTTGAACACTGTTCTGACCCAGTTCTCCAAGGTCACTTGGAACTTTTATTAAAAGAAACAAAAGAAAAATAAAATCTGACCCTGATTTGCTCCATCTGTCTTCCTTTCTCATTGAAACATGTTTTATTTATATGGGCATGAAATTAGTTTGCCAGGCACAGATAAACCTGAGACCAGGTATTCACACACTTAACTAAGCAACAAGAGCAGATGCTGAAATCAATTCTATGTCGCGAGTGGACAATGGTGGTCAGGACCCAAATCCTCCTGACAGTTGAACCCTCAGTCCTTCATTTCAGATGGCACATGTTGGTGATCACTCAGGGGCAATTCACATGACTTGCCTTTTTTTATTATCTGCGGCAGTGGCACTTTTCAGTTATCCAGTTATCAGTTTAGCAGTACAGCCACAGTAAGCAATACACATGGATTTGCTTTGGGCATCCAAACACAACTGTACCTTTTTTTAAAAGGATCAGGCACCAAAAGCTGATCTGTGTTAAGATCAGTAAAATGACACCAGTTACAGCAAGCGCATGCTGTGGAATATTGTATAGTCTAACCCCACAAACTGCATGGATAATTTCCTTGTTAAATATAACATCCTATTTGCAAGGAGATGGCCAGGTATGATAATCATGTACATGTTCATTGCACCACTTTCAGACAATTGTCCAAGCCATCAAAAAGACCAGGAAATCTCTAACTAACCACAGCTTCCCATTTTGTCCATACAGGGGGTGATTACCAGCTTTGGAACAAAACAGGATATTAAACCAGTTTGAAAATGGTTTAATATCCTGGTTGCTTCCGAAGCTGTTGACCAGAGTTTCCCAGTTTGGACCAAATGGGAAATGAAAGTTAACTGTAGATGTCCTGGTTTATTTACTGGCTCACATGAAGGGAGGACTGAAGCATTTCTAGATGTTTTTCTTTGGGAAGTTTGTTTCTTGTCTGGATGCTGTCTACTCAAAATAAGTGAAGGGGCCAAGCTGAGACAATGCAGCAGAAAGGCCATCTATCTTACAGTGTAATTGAAGTTTCGCTGTGATGGACAAAACCGCACTGTAGTGCTTAAAAGCAAGCCAACAAACAAACATCTTGCCTGCATATTTCATAGAGGGTTTACATGCCATTGAAATCTGCACTTGGACAAAAATAGCAAAGCAGATTTTGATCCTTGCAATTCAAGCATACTGCTGTGAAGTTAACACACTATCTTAATTATGATCAGAGTCTGGACTATTTTTAAAACAGCTTTTAATTCCCAGGCTTACTGAGTTCCATCTTCAAGCTCCATGAGGCTCCCATATCGACATAATGCATCCTTATGTAGCTCACAGACAAACTATTCTGCCGTCTCACTGGATGAATCCTTGATGATTCGGAGAATGACTGAAGTCATCTAGCCAAGCCTTCCCAAACCCTGGTGCCCTTCATATATATAGGACTACAACTTCATTAGTCTCAGGTGTCAACTGGAGGGCACCAGGCTTGAGGAAGATTTGATTCACACTAATCCCAAAACTTAAGGCAGGTTCTTCTACATATACCAGTCATTGTATACTTCAAAACTCAAATACAGCAAGATGGAATAGGATTAAACCAATTTAAGTAGGAATGAAATCTCATGTGGCTGAGCTCCATATGTAGCACTGAGGCCAAACTAGCTTTAGTTTTGGAAAACTGCCAGCATGGCAGTGACCTGGAGAATGAGATCGTGACCATCTTTGTTCTCTCCTCTGGTCCTGCTGCTGTTGCGACTAGCAAGTTTATACAGTGTACCTCGGTTACATACGTCAGGTTTACAATAGCTTCAGTTACAGACTCTGTAACCAGAAAACCTTGGTAAGAACTTTGCTCGGATGAAACAGAAATTGTGCTCCGGAGCGTGGCTCAGCATGGAGGCCCCATTAGCTATGGTGCTTCAGGTTGAACAGTTTCAGTTAAGTATATTGCGTGGCCTTCTGAATCACACTGTTTATCAAGAGGTCACCTCCTTGTATGGTCATGGGTGGCTCAGTGTCGCAGCAACAGGACAAGAGAAGGAGCTAAGCAGCCACAATTTCCTCTCCGGAAATTTGTGCATTCACGCTAAGCCATGGTTTGTCTTGGCACTACATGCAATCCAGGCCACAATAGGCAACACCATCTATTTAGTCATATTCTTGATCCTCTCATGGCATGCTTACATATTCTGTATTGCCAAGAGAAAGCTTTAAATTCCACATCAGTTAAGTCCAGTTTACTTAAGGGTACTTTCATGAGAACAAAACAAACTGAACCAGGGTCTCAAACAAGGATCTTGCCCAGCCCTACCTTGAGATACCAGGGACTGAATATGGAATTTTCTGTGTGCAAAGCAGATACTCTGCTTCTGAGCTACAGCAAATGTCTGCATTGTATATCTGACAACTCCAACATAGAATATTATCTTTGTTATCTATGTAACGCACCCATTTGCTTTAAGTGCATGCTAATCTGACATAGTGCAATGGGTGTTGGGGTGTTGGGAGTGGGAATTGACTCTGCTTGAAAATTTCTTGTTGTTAACTTAACAGGTGCCTCCTTACCCTGACTGACGCCTGTCAATGCCACTGAACAACTCCCACAGTTCTTCAGAGTTGAGGATGCCATCGGCACAACAGTTCTTAAATTCTTCAAATGACAACTTCCCATCATCTACATTTGAATGAAAGAGAAGGAATAATTATACCTTTGCAGAGATGAGAGCAACATGAGTCTCTGTATGCTTTTTTGTCTAATTCAGCAAGCTGTGCAACAGGAAGAGATTATGGTATAACACTGGAGCCAGGAATTCATAAAAAAACAACAAGGAATCTTGTGGCGCCTTGAAGACTACTGGATATGTTATGGCCATCTTTAGGAAGGGGCCACAAGATTCTTTGCTGTTGTGTGACAGACTAACAGGGCTACTCCTCTAGAAATTCATAGGTCTCTGCTGAGCGACATCAGCAGTGCTGAAGACACAGGTTTTCACTGAGATGGCAGAGGCTGATGCAGATGAGATCCATGGGTTCCTGGCTGACATATCACACTGTTCATGCTTGGAGAGCACTCCCACTCACTTGGAGATCAGTGGCTATTAGTTAGGACCGCCTCTTCCCATATGAACCTACCCAGACCCTGAGACCATCTTTTGAGGCCCTTCTTCATGTGCCTCCTCCTCGAGAGGTCAGGAGGGTGGCAACACGAGAATGGGCCTTCTCTGCGGTGGCTCCCCGTCTGTGGAATGCTCTTCCCAGGGAAGTTCACCTGGCACCTTCATTATACACCTTTAGGCGCCAGGCAAAAATGTTCCTTTTTAACCAGGCCTTTGCCTGACTTGATCTACATCCTATACCCTTTTTAAAATGCTGACTCTTTGGGTAGGGGGGTTTATTGTGTTGTTATTTTTGTTTTGATTTTATGTATTTGATAATTTATGTGAACCGCCCTGAGACCTTCAGGTATAGGGTGGTATAGAAATTAAATAAATAAAATGACGTCTCTGCTCTGCATCCATGGTTGGAGGCAGTAGTGATTCTGAATACCAGCTGCTGAAAATCACAGGAGGGGAGTGTGCTCTTGTATTCAGGTCTTGCTAGAGGGTTTCCCACAGGAACCTAGGTAGCCAATGTGTGGACAGGATGCTGAACTAGATGGGTCACTGGCCTGATCCAGCAGGTGTTTCTTAAACGCTTATGCTCCATTGAGCAGCTGTAGGACATGTAGACACTGAAAACCAAAGAGTTCTGCATGTTAACTGACCACCACTGCCAAGTTGCATCTTGGAGGAAGTCCAGGTGCTCTACTGAAGTAAGACTTATGATTCTGAACCTGCACAGAGGCTTCTAGCAGCACATGCAGGTATGAACCAATCCGCAGTCTGTGCTCCTGCTAGGGGCCTGTCTACATGAACATCATTGTCAGATCCATATTATCTCCTCCCTAGTCATATCTTGGCAGTGGTGGTTAGCCAATGCACAGACCTTCGGCTTCTTTTCAGCCTGCCGTTTCCTATGAATAAAGAAAGCTGCCCAAAGAATGGACTTATGAAACTAGGGTTAAAATCCAGCCATGGGTGCAATCTGAGTGAGCCGATACAGTTTGGACTCAGTTTTCCACTTGTAAACGGGAAAAAATAAAATGGCCAGTGTTGTGAGACACTGAGAAAACAATTGCAAAACACTCTAAAAGTGGAACAAAAATGAAATGCCAAATGGACGAGTGTGCATAATAAAACAAAAAATATAAATAAATAATAAATTTCATATCTGTTTCCTGGGAGTGACAGGAGTGTGAACATAGCAGCCACGGGGGATATAAAGGTCAGAGAAATAGCAGAATAGCAATGAAAGATCAGTATTAATAGATGGATTTGGCCTAAGTAGGAGGAATGATTGACATGCAGGTTTGTATGACAAGGGCAAGGATGCATGGATATGGGAAATAATAGACAGCAATTGCCAAAGTGATAGACAGCAGGGGGCACAGGAATGTCAGAAACATCCAGGGATTAAATTGAACCATAGGCCACAGACTTGGTCAGCAAGGCTATAGAAGAGCCTGGATGTATCCACTACCCATGAGGCCTGGAGTTTGCTTATCTGTTGAAGAACTTGGAAACTAGACAACATTGGCCTTCATTTATCATAAAGTTTCTAGCTCTCATGGTTGCTCAGAAATTATGAAAGCTAGAGTGGTAGAATGCAGGACTAGGAATGGGGAGAACCAGGTCCCAACTTCCACTCATCTGTTTTCCTGATTGGCTTTCAAACATTAGAAGCGGGAAACTGGCTAGGAAGCTGGCTAAGCCTCTGGACAACAAGGAACCAAAGGTTTGCTTAAAAAGGAGATTGCAAAGAAGCTGAATGAATTATTTGTATCTGTCTTCAGCACAGAAGACGTAGGGCAAATCCCTGTTTCTTAACTAACTTTCTTGGGAACAGAGTCTGAGGAACTAAGGCAAAGAGTGGTGACAAGAGACACAGTTCTAGGACTTATTGACAAAACAAAAGCTGACAAGTTACTGGGTTTGGATAGCATCCACCCAAGAGTTCTTTAAGAATCCAAATTTAAAGCTGCTGAGTTTCTAACAAAAACAAATGTAACTAAGATCAGTCACCATAGCTGAGGACTGGAAAGTGATCAATGTAGCATCAATTTTTAAAAAAATATATCCAGGAGGATTTGGAAATCACAGGCTGATTAGCTTAAGTTCTGTTCTGGGAAAACAGGTGGAAAGCTTTGTTAAATATAAAATTACAAAGCATCTAGAAGAACAAGTCTTGCTGAAGAAAAACCAGAATGGCTTCCACAGATGTAAGTCTGTTCCAACTAATATTTTAGAGTTCTTTGGGAGTGTCAACAAACATATAGATAGGGATGATCCACTAGATATTGTGTACCAGGGCTTTTAAAAAGATTTTGATAAAGTCCTCCACCAAAGATGCCTGAGTAAGCTTAGTGGTTGTGGGGTAAGAGGGTTTGGTTGCTTAAGCCTAGTCTTTATATAATAATAATAATTTATTATTTGTACCCCGCCCATCTGGCTGGGTTTCCCCAGCCACTCTGGGCGGCTTCCAACAAAGATGAAAAATACACTAAAATGTCACATATTAAAAACTTCCCTGAACAGGGCTGCCTTCAGATGTCTTCTGAATGTCAGATAGTTGTTTATTTCCTTGACATCTGGTGGGAGGGCATTCCACAGGGTGGGCGCCACTACCGAGAAGCCCCTCTGCCTGGTTCCCTGTAACTTGGCCTCTCACAGTGAGGGAACCACCAGAAGGCCCTCGGAGCTGGACCTCAGTGTCCGGGCAGAACGATGGGGGAGGAGACGCTCCTTCAGATATACTGGACCGAGGCCGTTTAGGGCTTTAAAGGTCAGCACCAACACTTTGAATTGTGCTCGGAAACGTACTGGGATGGACTAACGTTATATGTTTAAACGACGAGACATAAATAAATAAAAAAGAAGGGCAAGGAAATCACATGGGCAGGGTACTCACCGTTCTTGTCAGCTCGTCGAAAAACCTGAAAAGACAAAAAATCACATTTAGCAACACAAACTTGATTGGGAAATTCTTTTTGCACACATGTGTGTCTATAAAAATTAGTAGCTCCTTCAACCAGCTCAATCCATATGCCAAGCCCTAATGAATTAAGCTCTAGTTACCAGGTATCTCCAGACATCAGCTTCTTTCTTGGTTTGTCACTGTAAAATACAGCAGGAAATGAGTGAAGTGCCCCAGAAAGAGGCAGATTCCTCTTCCATCGGTTCATTCATACCAGTGTACACAGGGGCCAAAGAGGGGCAAAATCCCATTGTGCAAGCAAAAATCATTGTGCTGACAGGATGAGAGAAATGGATATTGTAATCTCTCATACTGATAATGGGCTTCTCACTATAAAGCAATACCAGATTGTTGTAAATATTGAGAGTTATTGCAATCACTTGCATGCTTTGATTTTATACTACACACACGCACCCCATTAGGTTTAGTTGAAAATATTTAAGTGTGATACTTGTTATTTAGCTGTGATTCCTGCATTTCAGGGGGCTGGACTAGATGGTCCTTTGTGTCCCTTCCACCTCTGCAATTATACAATTCTGTGATTCTATGATATGATTTCCCTTCTGCATTATTGCAGTTCAGGACTGGGCTAATTTGACCATAGATGGGAGTTCTGCTGTCAGTACAGACTGAGCCCACCCACTCCCCCACAGATATTGGGATGATAGACAGTTACACTAGCACAAATGTGGAACATGGCTCAGAAGGGCAAGTGCACTGTGTGTGCCGTGGTGAAGCATGTGGAGGATTTAATTTCATTGGAAGTAGCAGATTAGCAGGAGTAAAGGAACAGGCAACAAAGCCAGAACTAATAGGCAACATTTATAGGCACCGGAGTTCCACATGTTCATCCAAGTTACTGCATCAATAACTGAGCTGTGGGGTATCATCACTGGTGTTATTTCAGCACCAATATATCCACTGTTTTGTTGCTGGGCATTCCTATGTCACGCTGATTGTTTCTACTTAAAAGGGGGGGGGTGGCTCTGCCATGTGACAGTTCATCTTACAAGACCACAAAAATATGGCCTGGTGGCTAGAGGGATGGTTGGGAAAGAGTTTTTAGTTGCAGATTCAGAGAGCTGTTTCTAGCCTTTACCGTATTTTTTGCTCTATAAGACTCACTTTTTCCCTCCTAAAAAGTAAGGGGAAATGTGTGTGCGTCTTATGGAGCGAATGCAGGCTGTGCAGCTGTCCCAGAAGCCAGAACAGCAAGAGGGATTGCTGCTTTCACTGTGCAGCGATCCCTCTTGCTGTTCTGGCTTCTGAGATTCAGAATTTTTTTTTCTTGTTTTCCTCCTCCAAAAACTAGGTGTGTCTTGTGGTCTGGTGCGTCTTATAGAGCAAAAAATATGGTAATTTTCAAGGCCCCCACGGAGGCTTGCCTGTGCTTCAACATAAAGCATTCGGGAGCATCCTTTCACTCCTTTACACTTTATAGGTAAGAGCGCACAAGGGAGCCTCACAAAAAAAGAAAAACCTAGACTTCATCTCTGCTACATTACAGCTCATGTCTTTAAATTTTCAGCAGCTTTAAACAAAAGAGGATTCGGCTTAAAATACACCCGAACAAAACTTTTAAGTGCATTGCCTTTTGCTGTCAAAGGGGAACACATCCCTGAATCTGACAGCAGGAAAGAAACGAGATTCCCCCATACATAAATGCCTTTAACAGGAAAATTGTCCTATAGCATCTTAGAGGCTAACTGGCATAGAGTTTCAAAGACTACAACTGACTTCATCAGAAACAAAAGTGATACCCTCATTTGGTAGGTAGGCATCAATACATATATAGACACACACTATGTTCAGTTATGATTTTCTCATGTTATATTATTGTAATCAGTAATGGCTGCCAGAGCAGCACAGGTTGGACTGTGTTCCTGTCCTGGCTTCACTGTGCATCACTGCTGGGAAAGGGACAAGGTGGGGGGTAGTTTGGCGTGGTGTGGGCACAGCATCAGGAACATTGGGTTGGCTCCGCAGCTGCGACACACCAAGCATCCCACTGCCTTTCCCCCCTCCTTCCCAGTAGCTGGTAGTGTTGAGAAGAACAGAAAGCAACACCTGTACCATCAAACACGACTTATTGCAACAATCTGGTTGGTTAAACAATAAAATAACATTCTCATAATACTGCCCCTTCTCACTCTTTGCACCTGTACCTGCCTCCTAGAACATCTGTACGAGGCCACCACTCTTGCTTAGTTCAGACCCTTCTGGCCTCAACACAGAATAGGCTGAATGTTCTAAACTCACATCCAATTCACCCTTTCCTCAGTCTTCAACTTTATTCATAACTATAACACGATTTAAGCAGTGGAGAAGCTGTAAATGCAGTCGATCAAGTTGCAGAAGAAGAATTGAATCTGGTAGAGATTTCAAAAAAATAAATAAAATAAAAATGGAATGGATTTAGTGAAAAGACCTCTAGCCTGCAATGCAAGGCATGCTCTGGTGTTTACCTGAACATGTGAATTCTTAAAATGTGGATGGGGAGGGGGCACGCACAGGGTGCCCACCTCCAACATCTTCATGTATAATAATAATAATAATTTGTTATTTATACCCCGTCCATCTGGCTGGGTTTCCCCAGCCACTCTGGGCAGCTTCCAACAAAATATTAAAAATACATTAAAACATCAGTCATTAAAAACTTCCCTAAACAGAGCTGCCTTCAGATGTCTTCTAAAAGTCAGCTGGTTGTTTATTTCCTTGACATCTGATGGGAGGGTGTTCCACAGGGCGGGCGCCACTACAGAGAAGGCCCTCTACCTGGTTCCCTGTAAACTCACATCTTGCAGTGAGGGAACCACCAGAAGGCCCTCAGAGCTGGACCTCAGTGTCCGGGCTGAACGATGGGGGTGGAGACGTTCCTTCAGGTATACTGGGCTGAGGTCATTTAGTATAGGTCAGCACCAACACTTTGAATTGTGCTCGGAAATGTATTGGGAGCCAATGTATTTCACTCCCCCACCCCCAGCAGTCTCCAAACGATCCGTGTTCAGTGGGGAATGTTTGCAGGGGTCTATTATTCACACTCACTTGATCAAGGACTTGTTCTAGCTATGCAGCAGAGTCCAATTACAGTATATATAAGAACAGAATAACTAATTCACAACAGCAGTCACTGGAGACGTTATATATTTCTATTAGCATTTGCATTAATCTTTCTCTGAAGCTTTTGTGTGAAGTATGGTCACTTTCAGTTCCTATATCTGGTGAAGGGACGTGGGTGACGCTGTGGTCTCTACTGAGCCTCTTTGGCTTGCTAATCGGAAGGTTGGCAGTTCGAATCCCCGCGATGGGGTGAGCTCCCGTTGCTCTGCCCCCATTTCTGCCAAGCTAGCAGTTAGAAAGCATATCAGTGCAAGTAGGTAAATAAGTACCGCTGTGGTGGGATGGTAAACAGCGTTTCTGTGCGGTCTGGTTTCTGTCACAGTGTTCCATTGCACCAGAAGCGGTTTAGTCATGCTGGCCACATGACATGGAAAGCTGTCTGTGGACAAACGCCAGCTCCCTCGGCCTGAAGTGAGATGAGCACCACACCCCATAGTTGCCTTTGACTGGACCTAACAATCCAGGGGTCAATTACCTTACCTGACCTTATATCTGGTGACTCATTAAGTTGCAAATGTGAAAACGGGGAGGTGGAAGAATCTCTGGAGTCTTCCCAAATTCTTCTTTCCATGCATCTTCATCACAATTTCACATCTGATGTTTCACTTTCTGCTGGGGGAGATGGTAGGAAGACCCAGACCACCAGCATAGGCTGCTACTGAGACAGTAAATTAAAATCCACTCTTCTACAGCACCTCATATAAATCTATCCTGCTGAGACAAGCTCCCTCTCATTAGCTGCTCTCATTCCCCACTTGCGAGGTCATACTAATATTTGAATTTGTCCCAGTTGCCAGAAGTATCTTCATGAAATTGTTTTTAAAATGATAAAAGCATTCAATACAGGAAGCCAATTTTCTGGGGAAATGAGGGTCATGGAAGAATCCAGTTCTACATTTTGTGCGTGATACATGCTGCAATCTATAATGATCTCTTTTGTGACTGTCAGAAGAATGTGAATCATTAGAAGCAGGAATTTAAAAATAATTTGGTGGCTGGCTCTCCTCCTTCACTCTCACATCTTCAAAGCGGATGGACCATACTACCCTTATCTCTCCACTTGCTGGTATGGACTGATATAATCAGGACACACTTGGCTTTCTTCAGTTGCACTGAAAAGATAGTAATGTATCATGCTCATTTGTAAAAAGCTGACACAGACACTGCAGTATTATAATGGACAAAGCTTCCAAGTTGCTTTTTCGCTGGTGTGCATTCAAGAGACTCAGTTTGCTGCACTGACGGACTTGTAGCCTACAGAGTCATGGCTGTTCAGGGATGACTCACAAGAGCTGCCGTGGGAGTGTTCTGTAGCAGATCACCAGATAAGTGGTCTTCTCTTCTTTTCTCTTCATTTATTATTTTTATTTCTTTATTGCTCTTAAAAAACCAGTATCAGTTTCACAACTCCATTTCCATGTGGGGATGTGCAAGACAAGACCTTGATGCAACAAAAGAGTTGCATTATGTGGAAATGGGAGGCAATCACAGGTGTAGCAAGGCAGGGCTGTCTTAAGCATATGCGGCGCCGGGGGGCAAAGATCCGCCCAGCACCCCCCCCCCCGGTTGCCCAGTCCCAGGTGCGCAGGAGGGCAGAGTCAGTCAGCTGGCTCAGCATCTCACTAGTTCAGTCGCCCCTGAACTCGTGGCACAGAAAAGCTCGCCATGGCGCTCCAACCGGGTGGGCTCTTCCCCAGACACAACTCTCGGGCCCTGGACTCTCAGTGTGGCGCCCCTGAGAGCCCAGCACCCGGGTCCCCCACACCCCTAGCACCTAGGGGTAAGACGGCCTTGTAGCAAGGTACCAAGCCATGAGCTTTATAGGTCAGAACCATAACT